AAGCGTCCTCTTCGCGCGTGGAGGTGCTGACATGTAGCCGCGAATGCCCGCCAGATCGGTCCTCTCCGCTTCGTCGTTGTCCTCATCACGGCACACGCACCGATCCGAGGGCCCGCCAGTGAAAACGTGCCCGAACCAGCCGCCCGATCGCCGTCCTCCTGGGCCGCCGCGCCGGTCCAGCTACCCGAACTAACGTTCAAACGCGAGTTATGAATGTAATCGCGTATCTTCTACTCCAGGTGAGCGCTACAGCTTTCGTAGTGTATTGTAAGTCGTGGCGCACCGTGCTCCTGGCTGGTTGTTTTACAATAGTGTGGTATTCATGGAATTCAATTATGTTTCATTTAAAAGAAAACATAGGAATAGATGATTGAATACAAATAAATGGAAACGATACAGCTCGGAGTGAACAGGTCTTTTCTAAGGTCGACGCAACTCTCTCCAAAATCTCTCGCCATCCGCGCTGAAAAATCATTCTCTACCCCACAAGCATTCTTCTTACACTTCCGACAAGTTCTCAAACGCACCCTACTCTCACCACCACGCAATCATCATCCGTGCTTACGCATTCCTCGGGGAAGCACACCAACCCTTGGACCTGGTCTCCATGAGTCCCTTTCTCTTTTATGGCCCTCAGAACACTCGCTGTCCCACTGTCTTAAAACTAAGATACTACAATAGTATCGGTGCCTTTTCCTTTTTCGTCTTACGTGGCTGTGGGTGGAGGTCTTCGTTTGGGAAGTTTGCGAAGAGATTGGGTGTAATCGCGTATCTTCTACTCCAGGTGAGCGCTACAGCTTTCGTAGTGTATTGCAAGTCGTGGCGCACCGTGTTCTTGGCTAGTTGTTTTACAATAGTATTGGTGGATTTTCCTCTTTGAGCTTGCCTGGCTGTGGGCGGAGGTTTTCGTTTGGGAAGTTTGGGAAGGTTCTTCCTGATTATCTTGTAATGGATGTCCTTTGCTGATATTTCGAATTTTAGTGCTGTAGTTCATAGTGCATGGTGTTCTTGGGTGGTCGTTGGTTCTTTTTCTTGCGTGGATATGGGTGGAGGTTTTTGTTTGGGAAGTTTAGTAAGATTCCAGTAGATTATTTTGTAATGAATGCTCCTTGTTGATGTTTCGAATTTTAGTTTTGTAGTTTGTGGTGCACGGTGTTCTTAGGTGGTTGTTGGTTTTTCTTCCTGCGTGGATATGGGCGGAGGTTTTCGTTTCAAATGTTTAGGAAGGTTCTTCGTGATTATTTTCTGATGGATATCCCTTGTTGATGTTTCGAATTTTAGTTTTGTAGTTCGTAGTGCATGGTGTTTTTGGTTAAGGGCTTGTTCTTTCGTAATAATGACTGAATGTTTTTGTTTAGGGGAAGTTTCTTGGCGATGAGAATGTTAAAGAGTTTCTGTATGTTGTTATTTGTATTGTGAATTTTATAGTTGAAGAGAGGGCTCACCTTTTGTAAATAATTGTATTTATAAAACTTTGCTTTATCCTTTTCTTGAAGCGTTCGTTTTTCATCACTTAATAGAAGTTAATTAAATTAATTTCTTCAATTAAAATTCTTTCCTAAGAATGCAAAGATACAGAAATGAAGCGTTTGCAAAGTTTCAGACAAAATGTTAAACCATAGAAAATTGTTATTGTAAGAACTGTTAAATAGCCAGAAACTTTCTGCGGATGGCAAACGCACGCTCATGCTTACAGTAAGTAGAAACAGTAAGCAATGAACAGACACTTTGTCCGAGTCACTCAGTAGGACACGAATCCAATGGAAATTCAAATAAATGTATTACAAAAAGATGTCAGTCGTCACAAATCTATATTTTACACTTCAAATTTATTCTTTATTATTAAATTACTTTATGTATTTATTATTTGTTCAAAAATAAATATTATCTTTCAGCTTGTACCAACAGCTATAAAACATCTACTTTATTTTTCGTGTGATCAAAAATTATGCACACTGCTGTTTTCATAATAATTCATTTATTTCCATCTTATTATTGAAAATTCTTCAGTAATCGGTGGACTTTATTGTTCTACGTTCACCTCATTTGCTTTAGCCCCACTCGACAAATACACGGGAGAGTTCTGTGTGGGCTTTGACTTTCGATTAGTAGAAAGCGGTGATGATACGCAGCTCTAATTATTAAAATTCATAGTGTCAACTCGTTCGATACAGAATTCCAGTGAACATTCTTTGCTGACTTCGTTTCAACACAAACTGCAATTGTCAATAACCGAAGTATTTCTTCAATTAAACTTTTAAATTTATATAATCGCGAATTGCAAAAATATGAAATGATCAATCGTGGCAATTTTAAATAAATCTCATCAAAATTTTAACTTACAATTACAGAAATATGGAATCATTATTTGTAACGTTTCTTGTAAACTAAACTATTCAATCCCAAAATATTCTTCAAACTAAATTTAAAAATTTATTTGATCGTCAATCGATTTTAACACAAACTCAGTTTACAAATTTACAGATTTCAATTGACTTTCATTTCACTTTTGCTATTACTGAATTAGTTCCGTTAATAACTTCTCGTAGAAGTATCCTTTCCAGTAATCGTAAAAGAGAAAATCAGAAATAAGTCGTCCTGACCCATCTGGTAGATCCAGTGTTAACTGTTGAAATATTCATAATAAATTTAAACCATGCTCGACGTATTATTACAAATGAATAAAAATTCTGTTCTAACATAGCCTAGAGATTCCTAAATAAGAAGCAACACTAATTGTTCCGGCGCGGTTTATTTGGTTAAGACACATATCTCCACCACAAGTAATGTGGGCGTAGGTTAAAAAACTATAACTAGCAACACCCCGAGCGTTTTAGCCTTCTGATTCGTCACTAAGGACACCGCCCCATATCAGTATTTTTACATATATAGAGAGACATTGAGAGGAGAAAGACATACATCACAAGTTCATTACGAATCACGTTGTACTCACTGGACAACACATACACTCTAACTTTGTACACACATACACATCCCTTTCACTCAATATTCAACAAATACAGTCCACTTTCGAACGAGAAAAGGAGAAGCCTTTTTTCATCACGTCTATTTCACACAAGGTTAATTCGGCGTGTGAAAGTGTTACGCCACGTCCACTAATACTGCCTGGACAGCGCGCACGAACACTAATGTCTGTTTATTGTACAGGTGATCACATATCAGCTCGTGCTATGTCAAGGAAGTGGTGGCCCAAGTACTTTCGGATATGACGCGTCGTCAGCTTGCAGCAAACCGTACTCGCGTTCCGGACGTTCAAGATTCGTGAATCTGCCCTGCGATTTCCGCCGGCAAAACTGGTGCACAGTAGCTGGCAGTGCATACCCTTGGTACCTTAACCAAATTATTTTACCGTGATCTTAACCGTTTGGAAACAACTTTTGCGGATATTTACCAAAAATGCGGAAGCGATCGGGTGTGTACGCAAAAGAATTAATAAGAGCGGTTATCCAATGAGATCGGAAATATTGTGTTATTACAAAAGAAATATCAAGAAATAACATTTATTCGAATAAATTCACTTTGATTCATTTCCTGGAAAACGTAGTAGGAAAATTATAATTGTTACTGGTGAACAGAAGCGCCTCCGCAATTTTGGCACAACACAAGAATTTACGGTACAAGTTAAAATTGTATATTTCTAATCTTCAACTTCAGTTGAGAGAACATATTCCACGTACTTTAACTATAAACGTAGGGCAACTGTGATATTTGTTGTAACTAGACTGCGGATTTTATACGTTTGTGGATTCTGTACGAGCGGACAGAAATGATACAATAAAAACTCTAAGTAAATTGTAACAAAGTCTTCACTTTATTTGTTTACCCAATGGTCGCTGCAGCAAGGGAAGTTCCTTTTTAATTCCTGTGTTCGTAGCTCCGTCGTCAAAGATGTGTATTCGTATAAACATCTGCAGTCTAGGTGTAAGACACTATTCTTAATGACAAACAATGCGAAATTCTCTAATCAGATTTCATACAGGAGACTTTAACGCTAGAACTACCACTTACACTGACTTGAGAGAATTTTATAAAAACTACAAACGTGAATTTATTGAGGTTCGAATTCGTTCAAATTTCAGTTGATCGCCGCACGATTTTGCCGAGACAAGTACAGAAAATGAAAATAACGTAACATTAACATTCGCCGTTGAATTACGTTGTTATTATTACAGGTTTGAATTGTTGAATGTCGGTGCATTAAGTTGTATGATTTATAATGTAGAAAACTTTTCGAGTAACCATCGTTTAATCGAATGAATTATAGTAACTCGATTTAGTTGAGGTCACCGGTGACCTCCATGACATTCAACGTGTCGATCAGCCTTTAGTAATTCGAAGATGTATTCGTACCTTTTCACTAATCGCGAAAGGAAACGTCAAAAACGGGTTATTTCGATCTATCTGGTAGTTCTGGTGTCAAAATCTTAGCTGAAGTTTCAAAAGCATCCTTTGGAAAAGTGTAATTATATCCTGAAAAGATGCGCAACTACAAATAACGAGGATATCGAGACGTTCTTCAAATAACTCGGCCTGAATAAAATATGCAGGATGGGGCAATAACTTTGATCTGTTATTTTTAGAAATATGGAAAAGCTTTGTTTAGAAAAGTTGCACGATAACGAGGGTACCGCGGCGTTCTAATTATAGTTCCTCCGTGGGCAGAGGGTTTTCGAAAGATAGGATATTTTAATATTTTCGAACGGCAGCGTATTATGATTTTGTATTTTTAACGAGGTAAGCGGGAATATTTAGTATTATGCAACAGAATGGAATTTCTGCGAATCTTTAAGTATAAATATAGATCTTTATAGATGGCGGTCCACGCAACTGTCGCAAGTTAGTCTTTTACAATGAGAAAGTAGATCAACGGTCGCCGTTTGATTCGACCGAGCAAAATGATCAAATTTAAGATTCAATATTAAATTTTATATAATGTATCGACACATGCAACGTTAAAATGAAATAGTTCTGTCAGTTAATTTATGCAAGGTATTTCTTTGTGTTAGTTGCGAAAAGTACCATTGATATTTCATCAGAGAATAATGAACATTTCTCGAGAAAAATATTCTCGAGTGCAAAGAGTTAATAATATTTTAATTATTTGTTATTTACTCTTTCTATTTGAAAGAATATTTTTCCAATTTTTATTTCTATGACGATGTATAGTTCTGTTGTTTCTTAGTTCGCACGTACAAGCAACGGAAGAATTTGTATACCCAGCGTGAAACATGTTTTTCTTAACGCCTGATATATGGTTGCTTTACGAGCAAGAGATTACAGCAAATACAACAGGTTTTGTAGGCGTGTTTCAGTACCTCAAATACGATTAAATAACACAACACTTGCATAACTGTTAACCGACGGAATAAATCCGCACGGTTTCCGTATCGTTTTATTATTATACTTGCATCGTGTTTTTCTTGAACGTTAAATGTCAACATGTATAGCGTTACGTTTCTGAATTACATTTTTTAATATTCTTTACATTGCCGTGTATATATTGTATATTATTCTAATAATTAAGGATATAAATGTAGCGTGTAAATGTGAAATTTCAGTGCAGTTGTAATTTCTTATTTTAGGCATGCAGTTCGTCGTTTCGTGCAAGAGAACCAAGGATTAATGAGACGTATGTACGGAGACGAAAGGCATTTCAATGTGTTAAGAGCGGAATTCGAGAAGAATGACATAGAATTGAAGTACGATGATTACTATAATCACTTCGCTGATGATCACAGGTAAGCGTGAACTGTCATTAACACTATTCCTACCGAAGACGTCGGAAGACACCTTTCGAAATTTCAACTTGAAATTATTTTCCAAGATTATTCGTATATTCTGAACTGACTTTCCGACTTTTCCAATAAAGATTGTAAAATTGACTATAGGAAATGTCCAGAATTCAATTGAGGAAACGATATGAAACTGAGAAACTAATTGTAAGTTAAAATTTCGAAAGGGGTGTTTTGACACCTTCGGTAGAAATAGTGTTAATGAAATAAAAATTAAATAAATCAATCTAACTCAGTATATTGATGAACTATAACTATAAACAATTATGAACAACTATAAGTAATAAACAACGTATAGAGGGACAGTAACTTATCATGCAAACAACTAGCTATAACCATAAACAACTATAAGTACCAAACAACGTACAGAGGGTCAATAACTTATCATGCAAACAACAAACTATAATCATAAACAATTATGAACAACTATAAGTAATAAACAACGTACAGAGGGTCAATAACTTATGCAGACAACAAACTACAACCACAAACAACTATAAGTAACAACGTTCCAGGAAATTCCAATACATGCACCACTACGACGACTACTTCGAGGACGACGAGAGCTCCAGAGTGAACGTCGACGACTACGAAGGCCGGGACTTCACGAGCAGATCGTTCAACAGCAACGCCGGCAAGCGACTGAACAAATTCCCGAAACTAAGCGAGTACACAAGACCACACTTCCGGCCGACCGAGAAGACAACGTCCTCGACATCCACAATGACCGTATCGTCGGCCACCACCGTTTCCCCAACCGTCGAGCCGTTATCCTCCACGAGCGCGACATCAACGGCGACGTCCACCACTCGCGAGCCAACCACGAAACCCTACGTCGCGACGACCGCCAGCCCCGACAACGCGAATGAGGACAAAAAGGAGAACACGACCCAGGAGGCTGCCTCGACGGAGGCAACGGTCGCGACCGTTCACACGGTGAAGGAGCAGAACTTCAGCATAAACGAAATCTCCGAGCAGGTGGACAAGACCGAGGATGAACCGGAGGAGGTCGCGAACGTGATGGAGGTGTCCGAGGCGAATTTCGAGGAGACCTCGATGTTCAACTTGCCGGGCACCACGGAACTGCCGGACGATGCCGATTCCAGCGGAGACCTGTTTGCCACGCTAAAAGAAACGACCGTCCAGGAGACTACCAGCTCGAACGAGCAACAGGAGTTCCGACCGCGACCAGAATATCGACCCGTGAATAAGCCGGAAGCTTCTTTCATGAAAGGCCAGCTTTATCAGGACGTCGCGGCGAAGGATCAACAGGAACAACCGGTTCTGAAGCTGAGGGGCATGTAAGTGGCGTTCGTTTCGTTTCCGTCGATTACACGGCTCACCGGGGGCGTTTCACTTTTGTTCGCCGCCACTGCCACGCGATCGTGACACGCATAATTAATCGGTTATGAATAATATCGACGCGACTGGACTGACGTCGCTTTGCTCGGACGTCGGTTCGTTCGTCGGCGTGCTGCCGATTTCGTTGGTCTCTCGGTTGCTTCTCGAATAGGGGATTGTTGACACACTGCGTACTGGTAACGAGAAATCTCGTTTTTATTTAGACACTTAGCTATGCGACTTCGCTAATTACCGCAGCATTGAGAGATATAAAATTTCATTCGAATTGAATTTCAAACGAACTTCTGCTTAAAGCATGGAAAATTGCTGCTGTCCTTCCAAATTTATAGTAAAATGTTACACGAGTTTATCAGAGAAAGTAAATAATACGTCAATAATACTTAACATATTACGTACCGGTTAATTTTCAAAAAACTGAATTGTACGGATGGCAATTTTCACTGAGGCCAATTTATATCACTATACACAGAAAAACTCAGATATACTATGTGATATATTTTAAATAGATAATCAATTCGAATGAAATTTTATATTTCTTTCAATGCTGTGGTAATTAGCGAAGTTGCATAGCTAAGTGTCTTCATATAAAAACAAGATTTCTCGTTACCGGTACGCAATGTGTTAACACTGATAGAAGTGAATGTTACGATGATAATTTTGAATAGTGAGATATAACGAGAAAGATAAGCAAAATACAAATGTTTCAGAAACGCTTGTCCCGTGAAGGAGGAAGTCGTCGCGCCATTTTGGGCGAACAACACGAGGGGCGAAGTACTGGCGCTCCTGAATCTGTATCCTTTCGAGCAGTACGTCCACTGGGAAAAATGCACGTAAGTATCAGTACAAATTGCTTCAACTATAACTGACATTGCTGTCAATTACGACTGACACAGAACATCGAAGAGCGCCGATGTTTCGATAAACGTTCCTCTCGACTCGCAGCAAGTTTGCTTGCTATTATTTGATTCTACAAACAATTATTCCTTAATATCATTTCACTATACGAAAATCTCGTTTGTAACTAATTTTCAATCATTAACCAATTGAACACGAAACAATTTGATCGTTATTGATTTATATTATCTTGTCCTGTACAATCAACCCTTAACACTAGAACCACCGAACAGTATCGACCTCTCGAAATGTCTCTATAGAAACTCCAAGAATGCTATCATTAAGATTTCTGTTAATTGACCATTCAGTTTGTCTATTGCTCAATCAATTTCTATAGTAATTTCTCCGAGAACCTCTGAATAATTGTAAAAAGAAGAGACCGATAATGAATTTTCACCTGTCCGATGGTTCTAGCGTTAACCCCTTGCCCTATATTTCTCAACTGCGATATGATAACGTTGTCATTGATTTATGGAAAACAAATTCTACGCATATTCTACATCCACGTTTGCTCCGAAGTATAATAATCGATAACAGAGGAATATTTCATTTGAACTCACCAGAATTGGTTAACACGTTGAACGCCGCACGATTTCATAGAGGGAAATACACAGAATGGAAAAAATATAACAATAAATGATTTTCAAATTGCATTATTTCTACACGTTTATCTAGCTGAATGTCACTGTATTATGTAGCATCGTTTATAATATAGAAATGTTGTCGAATAATCGTTTCATTGAGTGAACTATAGCATCTCGATTTGCTCGGGGGTCACCGGCGACCCCCGCGGCATTCAACGTGTTAAATTCTGTTTCGAATCTTCGCGAGTCTCGGAAATGATTGTAAGGCAAGGGGTTGAAACGTCCGTGATCCGAGGAGACGATTAAAAACGATGTTGTTTGATGAAAGACACGAGAACAAACAGATGTACTGCAGAGACGGATGCAAGTGCGAGCAACAGTACAGGCTCCATCGGTTGTTGGCTTACGATCCGAACAACGAATGCCGTGGCATCTTCAGCGATTGGTTCAAGTTTCCGAGTTGCTGCGTTTGCCGGTGCTACGACTTGCCCCTCGAATTTCGCGTAACATCCCGGTCGCCGCGCTCGCAGAAACAGCGTATCAAAGTACGGCCGCCGCGCAACGGTTACGCGTGAGGAGAGAGAAATGAAAAAAAGAAAAAAAAAAGGAAACGAGAAGCTCAGTGGCGATGTACATAATTACGTTTTAATTGCCGAGAAACGCTGATCGATCATTGTCCATTTGATCGCGCATTCCATGGGATGCATCGTTTATTTATTGAACACGTAATTTATTTATTAACACTTGTATCATCTCATTCATACGAAATAGACTGCGGATATTCGTAACACACGCGGAGATACTTGTACACGTGAACCGTGGAATATATTTTGAGAATATCGCTGTACAATTCACCGATCGATGAAAGTATTTCAGAGATTCTGTAATCAATGTATTTGCTCGCGATAAATCAATCGAACGTCTGGTGTATTACGATCGCAATTGTTGTAATAATCTCGAGAGATTCTGATCTGTAAATTCGAATTTTCGGGAATCCAGAGTTTCTTTGGAAATTGATAATATACGTATTTTATATTACAATGTCGTGTGTCCAAATCTTTCTTCCTGATTAGGTTTACTAATATAGAACCCTTTAAGCGATATTTTTATCGGAAAATAGTAATTGTATTTGGGTTATTAACAATAGAATATTATGAACATACACCGCGTCAGACAGTAAAGTAACACTGTTACTTACCATTGATTCGTTCTGTTCACAATTAACGCAAGTTTCGTGCTCTTTCCGTGTATACCTTTCAAATGAGAAGATCAAGTATCGTTATTTCCGTTTTAATTCTTTGGTTTCTTTTCACCGTTTTTCATACGTTTATCGCGGAATACTTAATTATAGTCAGGATGATTCGTCGGCTTCAATTTCAGTAATTAACACCGAGATAATTTCTATCGTTGTTTAAGATATTTTTTAAACACATTCGCAAGAGACAACCGTAAAGGCTCGTGAATAAAAGATCGTACGCCATGTTCTTGTTACACTTAGTGTTAAACGCGTCAAACGAATTGTGTAATGCCTAATTGTTTACGTTCACAGGATGTGTCAATCGGTTCGATGAAGGAACCATTTCTTGTTCTACATACAACGTGCACGGCAATCGCGTTGACACGAGCGTAGAATTGTTAATTATAAGAGCACTCGTATTTATAATGATCGACATTCACGTGTTTTATACCAAAAAGGCTCGTAGCAAAACGGACTTTGTCAATCAATTTTGTAATTACCTCAAAATAATATTTGTATGTAACTGCGTGTATTTTCATCTAACAATAAAGAATTGATTATGTATACGAACTAGTTTTATTTTGTTTCAAAGGGAATATGCAACCAATCGATTTTAAACTGTTCGAACTGAATTTACCTATGTTTCTATAAGCTCAAAGAATTGAAAGAAACGTATAAGTTAACAATTATTGAATCTTGATCAATGTTTATTACACGTAAAACAAGTGAATTTTATTAACCCTTTGAACTCTGTAGGCTCCAATATTGCGCCAGTTATAATATCAAATATTTTAATGAATCTTAAGGAAACTACCCTAAAATTATTAGATTTTCCATACATTCAAATTTTGTACTGAGAAGGAAAATAAAAGATTGAAAGAATGTTATCGCATTTTTCTTTTTCACTAGAGATACTGTAAAAATTAGTTGCAGTTGCTGATGGATTACAAAACCATCTGGAGTGCTAAGGGTTAACTTCGTATTTGCCATTGTGAAAGGGTTGAAACAGTTCTTATGTCATTAAATCATGTCACTCCTTGTAATAAATATATTTCCATATTACACTTAATTATCACACTTAATATGGAAATATCTTTGTTACAAGGAGTGACACAGCTCAATGACGTAACTGTTTCAACCCTTTCACCCTTCTAATAAAATGAAAAACGTACAGAAGGGTGAGCTTCATTTTCGTTCATCTAAAACGGACAAAACATGCTCGGCATGATATACATTAAAACACAATGTTTAATTTTAGTGTTTTGTGTGGCTCAAGCTCTGCAATCCCGTTCACTGTCCTCGTTAGCAAGTTCGGCCGAGAGATCCAGCGAACCGTGAATAATTACGTACTACAATCTTCCAAAGTAAAATAACTGAAAATCTCGTGCAACTTGGGGGAACCCCGGTCTATTTATTTAGTTCAAAATATTCGAATGCGTAACAGTAAAACACGCATGGATTTATTATTGAAAATGTTCATTTTACCAGAGATGAAATATATTGAAATTCTTTGTTCCTCGAGATTGATCATAGTCCTTCGAACTTGCGCACTGTCATATTACGAAAGAATTTTAAAATTGTCAAGAGCCTTAAAATTGTTTTTCATTAATTAGTTACCATCTACTGTAGGTTTAACCCTTTGCACTCGAGAGGCGACTCGCCGGACGATTTGATAAGTAAAATTATAAACTTTCGTATTTACCACTTAAATTGTATAATGCAACACGCAAAATATTGAAAGAAAATAGCTTTGCTCTCTAATTTATGTGTAAAATTAATTTATCATGAAATCACGAATCTTCCTTCACAAAGGGTTAACCTTTTGCACTCGAAAGCTGTTCACTTGAAATATTCAATACTTTCCACTTGGATGTAGACAAGATTCTTTAAAATTAATTTATCAAGAAATCAAAGAATTTCATCTAGATCTAACTGGAAAGCGTTGAATATTTCAAGTGAAAAACTTTCGAGTGCAAAGCGTTAACCCTTTGCGGACGAAGACTTTAAACAAAGCTGGCAACATATGATGCTAAATTATACATCGAATGCTCAAACAACAGAACAACAAGCTATACACTGATCTCTTGCTATTCAACTAATTAAATCATTCGTTTGCAACTTACTATTCCAAATATGAACGTTTCATCTGAAAATGTCGGCAAAGGGTTAAAAGTCAAACAACACATCGACGCGTCATGCAGCACGAAAACCAACGGGAATCTGGCGCAATCGTTATTAATCGGTGCAATGATAAATCGATGGTATTGCAGTAACATTTATTCAAAGAAAAAATCGCAATAGACAGCATCGTACATAACATTCGATACGCGATGAGATGTCAGAACGATGTGAAAGATACCTTTACGCGACAGCAAAGAATGAACAAGCCACTTTTCATGATTTCACGGTTTGTATTTACATTTTATAAAATTCAACCTATGCAGGATATACATGAACTTGAGTAATCGTATAATATAGAAATCGATCGTCTCAGAAATTCATCCGCGTGCTCCAACTGAAAACGCGACAGTTTCGATTTTCATTGAAATCTTTTCCTCTCGCGAACGAAAAGTACGAAACAGAAACAACCGAGGGGGAGAAGGTGATAATCGAAGAGTGAGATTCGTTCGTTGCTCGAACGACGATGAATCGATCAACGATCAGACTCGTCCCTTGCGAACGCAACTCGAGCCGTTGCGACAATTCCATTGATATATCGGGTATAAAAGTTCAATCGTTATGCGCTACGTTCTCTACGGTATAACGGATTTAAGCTACATTAAAATGTTTACAACGATATAAATAATATTGCACTAAATCTTCGATATATCCGTGTGTATATGTATATTTCTATGCGTTACTTAAGTTCACTCTCACGTGATCGGACATTGTCCTTTTGTTCCTCGCAACTTTATTACAGACAGTATATAGGAAGAAATAAATATACAGATGCGGTTTTATGAGATCTGGCTAAACCATTTTCAACGATATCGCGCAGACACGCGCAGTCGGAAGATGACTTGATGTCTAGCGTAGGGGCGAAACGTGTCTTCGTAGTTCGGAGTTTTATAGTTTCCATTGGTTACGCGTAACCGTATCGGCGAGTAGTAAATTATTGATCGGGAAGATCGGCAATTAGAAAATAAAGTCGATGGAAAATTCGACGAGACGAAAACCGATCGATCAGCTGAATCTCTTTAGCCTAGCCATCAAGTGATCTCGTAGCAGTACATTGGAACCGGTGCTGATTACACTAGGACGGTAAAATTAACTCATTCGAGACTGTTTTTTTGTCCTTTGAAATTTTTTAGCTGAATACCGATAACATAGTGCTACGTCACTTTCATTTCTTCAGCAGAATGCTGGTGACATAGTTCTACGTTATTTTTATCTTTTTTAACACGTTGAACGCCATTCAAATCGAATTACTATAGTTCATTTAATTGGGAAGATGATTATTTGAGAACATTTCTATATTATAAACAATGCTACCGAATGCGGTGACATTGAGAAAGATCAGCGTGCAATAGTAATGCAATTCAAGCAAATGATGTGATATTATACTTTTTCCATTTCGTGCATTTTGTTTTATGAAATCGTGCGGCGTTCAACGTGTTAATAGAATACTGGTAATAATTTTCATTTTCTTTAGCAGAATGCTGGTGACATAGTTCTACGTTGTTTTTATGGTTTTCAACACGTTGTCGATCGGCAATTTTACACAAAAGTCATCCCATGTCACCGATTATTCCGTAATCAAGTACGAAAGTGAAACAATCTAAATAAACTTCAATATACTTTATTTATAAATAATGAATTGAAATGAAACCGGCATATCTTGTATATAACTTTGTATATTTTGCTTTTGCAATATTCTATATTGCCCTGCGTTTCAAAAATTGAAATAGCTAATGCAAGTGCAAACACGAGTTAACTCGTGACCGATCAACAACTTCTTAACCAAATGCTAGTGACGTGGTCCTATGTTATTTTTATGTTTATTAACAGAATGCTGGTAACATAGTACCATGTCATTTTCATGACATCAACTCGAAGAGAAATCGCACATACACTGAGGAACAAATCTATTTTATTTCAATGTTTCTCGAATTGATGCATTATACGAAGCATAATATTAACCCTTTGCACTCGGGGATTGTTTCGCTAGATGTATTCCTGATCTAATGAAATATCAATGATATGTTTTATAATTAATATTAACACATTGCGTATCGGCTAATTTTCAGAGAACTGAATTGTGCTCAATTTTCACTGAGGTCAACTTATATCACCATACATAGAAAAACTCAGATATATTGTTATGTAATATACTTCAAACAGATAATCAATTCGAATGAAATTTTATATTTTTTTCAATGCTGTGCTAATTAGCGAAGCATAGCTAAGTGTCTTTAAATAAAAACGAGATTTCTCGTTACCAGTACGCAGTGTGCTAATATAAATAATATAGAAATTAAGGGATGGAACTATTCTATTTTCACGTATCATGGATAATTACGTTAACCCTTTGCTGACGAATGCCGACAGTTTGGCGAGACGAAGTTTTCATATTTGGAAGACTAAATCGCAAACAAATGATTGAATTACCCGAACAGCAAGAGATCACTTTCCTTTTTTTCGATTATTCAAATAATTGATATATAATTTAGCTTCATCTATCGAAGGTTTTGTACGTTTCAAAGAATCTCCGATCGCAAAGGATTAAATGAATCTTAATATTGAATATCAGACTTTGGAATTTTACTGTGTCAAACCAAATGGCGATGGTAGGTCGTCTCTCGAGCGCAAAGGGTTAAATGTCAAATTCTGTAGTTTTAAATCAGGTGGCGAGCGAGGATCGCCTCTGGAGTGCAAAGGGTTAAATTCATTGCTCGCTTATTTCTTTGGATCATTAGAATGTTTGTAAAATCGACGCATATGTCTTCGCGAAGTTCTTCCTCGGATTCTGTGAAGATACCGTTACACGGGGGTTACCCGTACACCATTCGGCGCGCACACGAATACGCCTTAAGTATTTATAGTAATTCAGAACTCGCGATAGAACAACCTTAAGTCGTATAGGGCATTTTAGCATTCGATTCGTCAGATTCTCTATATATGATTATTGCTTACTTGTAAAGTCCCAACAAAGATCGCTTCATTTTTTATTGCATTTCCTTCGTCTTGTTCTGACCTGAACATAACTGCACCCATGTTCTTGTATTTAAAGTACGCGAAATTCATCCGAGCTGAATTCTTAAAATTATTTCGAAAACTTACTCCGTTACCTTTATACTCAATGTTCTGTGAATTATTCGACTCTATGAACGATAGAAAGAGATTCTTTAAAACGTTACTTCGGAATATTGGTGATATTTCTGGAAGAGAAATGTATAAACGATAAATTGGAAGCAGTTTAAATTGTATTTGCATCGTTTTATACTAGAATTCGGTGCAATTATATTCGAAG